AATACGCTAAAAAGGACGTCTCGTGCTGTTTGCCCGTGTACTAGTTGGCGACACCATGTCGTCGATATTAGATATCTGCTTTCGTAACGCAGTCGGACTCTGTGTAAAAGTGTCACGCTCGCTCATGGCCGACACCGCAGTGTCTTGCCTCTTCGCGGGCGGCCGATTTGCCAACACCGGCGGTTGTGGTGGCATCGGCGAAGTATCCGCCAGCTCGTAACTCTCGCCTTCCTCTGGTGATTGGGAGTAATATGTCATATTCTCTCCTTGAATCGAGTTCATACGGGGCCACTCCGACGCTCTTGAATATGCAGGAGCGGGCTCTTCTAGCTCTGCTCGCCTTGCGCCCATGTCGCCCTCGAGCTCCATGTGATTATCTGGGTTTACGGCGTGGTAGTTTTGGTACCCAGCAAACCGGGTTGTCGATGACTTGGAGTCTGGGGCGTCCCGCTTTTCTGATCGAGGGATGGCCCTCGTTCCGGCAACCCCGGCACTGGGGTTCCGCTTGCGATTCTTCAACCAGAACCAGAGCGCGACGAAGAATATCAAGGCAGCACCAATGGCTACTGGTACACCGACTTTGACACCCATTGCAGTTCCTCCGCTGGTACCGCTACTCGTGCCGTTGCAAGTTGATGTGATGTTGTCTGCCAATGTGCCATTTGCGACCTGAGGGCTCAGCCAGAACTTGCCCGCAGCATAGTCGACATGCAGGTAGTTCTGGGAGAGGAAAACACCTCCGAGAATAGGAACATTGTTGCCCAAATCGCTCAGACCTGAACCGACGGTGGCCTGAATGTGGGTGTTGTTCGTAACGGCATATCTACCACGAGAGTCGGTTCCACGCTCGTGTGAAACCAACTCGTAGTGAGGAATGACTGTGGTATAGCCATTCGTGAGCTTGATCGTGAGGGTTCCGATCATGGACTCGAGGCTGGAGGGGTATGTCGACTGGCTGTATGTGGTGCCGTTGAATGTCGTGGTATGGTTGGTGAAGTTTTGGAATCGTGAGAACATGTTCGGGGTGAAAGTAAAGTCGTTCTGGACCGTGTCGATGCAGGCGGAAACTCGTGTGCCGACGTCGCTGAAGAGCGAGTGGTCGCCGTCTTCGTTCGTCAGAACGATGTCGGAAACGAGAACCTGCAGAGGGCATGGCACAGGCGCGCCAGCTCCCCACATGGTGAACTCGGTCTTCTTCGTCTCATTGAAACGCGCTTCATTGACGCCGCCGAAAATAAGCTGGCCATCACGGGGGTAGAGCTCGGAGGTCGATCCGTAATCCAAACTCCATGCCGAAGTCGGTGCGATTTTGTGGTCGACGAGCAGATCAATCGTGGAAGATTCGGGACCAAGAGCCAAAGCACTCTTGTTCATGGAGTCGTAGTCCGCCCAAATCTCGAAAGGGTAGCCGTAGACCACTGCCGGGCCATCCGTAAAGTTGGCGGTATCGTAACCATGGAGAACCGTTGTGACGCCGTCAGCGGGTTGTGCATCAACTACTCTATGAAAAAGGTCAGCAAACAATGATGCACTGCGTTGGAATGTGCGACCTACGAGACATTCCAGTCCTTGATGTTGTAGACTTGAGTGAAGGTGTCTTTTGATGTATCATAGACACTGCCAGATGCGCCTTGGCAGCCGACGAACGCCAAGGTGTCCTCGTTTGGGCAATCGAGAATATTCCTCACTCGCGTATTGTTAAGAATAGTTGACATGCGCATGCCTTGAACCTGGCCACCAAGCGTGAGCTTGACGCCGCGGTTGGCACCGATGCCATTCGGAAAGGTAACGTTCTGCGGGGGGCCAAGTCAGTACTCCACGATCACACAACAAACCCACCAAAACACCAAAAGAAGAGAAACAGACGAGCCGTAAAAAGTGAGCGAATGACTCGTGAGATGTGTTTTTTTCTTACTTTTATGGGTAATACTAACGGGTCGACTGAGCAGTCGTCCGCCTTCACGGCGGGAGAAAAGACGCTGGCCAGCAGGAGCGCCGCCCAGGGCGTTGAGGGCAACAACATCACGAGAAAACGCGAGTACGAGGCAAGATGCAACTGTTGTGAGGCATGACGGGCATCCGGCCAAACACATCATACATTGGGGTCTGTCTTTTGACGGCAGGGCGCCCCCTTTTGACTGCTCTTGTCTGCCCACCACCCCAGACGGGGTGCAATATCAAGATGTCGACTCCTTGCATGTCGCGCCAGGTTACCTAGCCGGAAGGGGGAGACGAAACCCACCGAGAAACTCCCATGTTATTAGAAGGGGCTCACGACTTTCCACATCTGTAACTCTATCCCCGCTTCAGTTGCGCCTGGGGCCGTTGCGAGTGCGCTCGGAACACACTCCGTTGGGGGCTATCGTCGTTGACGACCAAAGAGGAAGAACGGCTTGGGCAGACCTTTCGAAAAAGTCAAATGAACTATATCAGATGAACCTCTATAGAAACATTTCAATTTACTCTATATTGGACTTATTCATGTTATTCAGACGAAGAAAAGCTGTTGTGCAGTGGTTCCTGTCGTTGGACCGTACACTAGTCATGAACCTTGTTCAGGCACCACAACTGCATGCAGTTCCATGTTCTTGGCGCCCGGGCGTCAGGGTAAGATTAGGGTCGTATTACAAGCATTTTTATACAAGCCACGAGTGCCTGGCGAGGCGTTGTAAGGCGAGTTCTGCCGCTTGCTGGCGGCTGCGACGAATCGCTCTCGCCGAGCCAGAGGCTTGGGCAACCCTGACAAGATCTGCATAATGCCCTCGCAAATGCCGCGATCAGCAGCGATGTCCGCTGGAGCTGTTAATAAAATCTGTCTCAGGTATGTTGACAGAACCCCAGATGATAAATGTTCATAGGGCTATACAGCTCTGGCAGTAAGAGACTTGTTTACGGCTTGATATGAACTGTCCATCTGGCAACGCAGGTTTCCTATCACGGACCGAGTTTTGTCTTCCTTGTCCAAGTCTGAACGTCCCATGTCGCGAGGCAGGGATAAGGGTTTCCTCGCTCTCGGGAACCCCTAGCTTCGAAGGCAAGTGGGAGGACGTTGATGCGTCTCCATGGTCGGCGTACAGCCGGATCTGATCTGTTTTCCGCGAGTTTTCTCGAAGGAAATCCACCGTGTCGATATGAAAGTTGGTTGAGTTGATTGCGCCAGTCGCCAGTCGCCAGTCTGCCCAATTTGCCACCGCTAAAATGTCGTCTAAGCGCTTCGACCGTTGCCAAAACAGGGGTCCCGGATGTGGTTCCAGCTTTCCCACGGGGGTCGGATAGTTCCAGGACCGCCCCTAGCGAATGGGTGCGAGATGATTACGTTTTCAGTGAGATGAAATCAATCAATTCTGGCAGCTGAGGGTGAGGAAAACTGAGCACGTGGGCGTTGATCCCCTCGCTCCATTGTCGCCGAATCCGTCGGCCAATTCGGACGCTTCGGTCGAGTTTTTCAGAGCTCGCAACTAAACTCTCTTCGAATACGGCAATGAACACCAGGAATCGCATTCCGCGCAACCCAATCTCGTTGATCGGCTCATCGAATCGACTTCGCATCCGGACTCCGGACTATCCCAATTCCCTCGGTGTCACTGTGTCAACGGTACCAGCAGGCTGGTGAGTCTAGAGCTTGGTCCATAGGTTATTTTGGCGATGTGGAAACGATGGGGAAAGTGACCGCGTGCACAAGCCCGGCACGCGTCCCACTGCCAGGTCCAGTCCAGAAAGGCATCAACTCTGGCTCGGTTAGAGATACGCGGCAAGGGGGAAGAAATCAGTAATTCGGTTAGGCACTGACAGAACCGTCGTTTGGCCAAGGCCACGCAAGATTTTCCAGCGGAGAGTTGAGGTTTCTCGTTGTCTGATTGGAATTCATACGAACAGGTTTCCTGTTGTTGGCGAGTGTCCGAAGCTATCTCCGCACTACCACCAGAGTTGACTTTGCATCCTACCCCAAGGACCAATCTCGGCAGGCTCTAACAGAACTCTGTTCCGAGTAAACAGACTTTCTCCGACGACGTTTTGCAGTTCTTGCGGTCCAGTTTTCGGCAATGTTGAAGGAGCGCGATTGAGTCTACGACCGCGACCTGATAGCAGGCACATAAGCTTGTCAGCCAGTCGTCTAACATAGTGCCCAATTTTCGCGCCACAGCCATCCCCCGCGCATTCGGTCCCTCAGGGATTGTAAGCCGACGTCGGCTCAATGGTCTAGTGGTATGATTCGCCCTTCGGGTGCTTGTGTTCTTCACAACCCTTGCGCACAGCGTGAATGGGCGAGGTCTCGGGTTCGATCCCCGATTGAGCCCACCTGAAATTTTTGAACATCAATTAAGCAGTTGTAGCAATTCTTTTTTTTTCTCAAGAAATTTTTATGACATAGATAGATATACCTAGTAACAATAGAACGTAATTAATAAGATGCGTTTACGTTCTGTTGCTTGATTAGTAAATTAGCATGCTATTCTTATTCTTCTGCCTATTAGTGAGAAGCGATATTTATATATCTTGCTGAGTTTGAGAAAGGAGTCTCTGTCTGTCTAGGTATCTATGTCTCAATGAATACCCAGAAGAACGGAAAAACACTTGCATGGGTAGCAATGATCTCTCACGGCACCTGAGAATCTATAATTCATTATCTTAGATTCTATTTTCTGCGATCAAACCACCTAGAAGATTTCATGCTGAATGAACCGCTATGCTCACTCAATTCATTCCCGTCTCAGCTCAGTGTTATAGGATATGTGAAACAGAGCAAAATGTTCCACAGGCTCTCCTGGGCCAGTCTTGTTCATCCCTTAGTCCTTGCCGTATGGGATGTCTAGTTGTTGTAGAGACCCGCGGACAAATTGAAGAATGCAAGAGAAACTTCGACTTTGAGATCCGTCACATCAACACGCTAAGTCTAGACGAGCCTGCAGACCCTCTTGCATGCGGGGCTCGCCCTGATCACGAGAATGACCCACGAGCATTGCCCGCTCACAATCCACGATACCCTCTCGCCCTTCAACGGTCCTATGGCGCAACGGTAGCGCGTTCGACTCCAGATCGAAAGGTAAGTTACACCCCGGGGTTTCGATCCCCTAATGACACCCTCATCATGGTGGTAAGTTTCTGACGGCGCTCAGGTTATCTGTTCAAATCAGGTTGGGATCATTCAGTCATTCTCTTTTTGGCCTTGCTTTTGACTTTGTCGCAGATGCGGCATAGCTCTGCGGTGAAGACGCTTTACAAACGTATCAGTTGGTGTTGCCGAGAGCTTAAATCAGAGTCTTGGGAAATTTCACGATGTCGAAAACAGAATCATCTCCGATGCCAAGTAAAGTGTTGTCTTGTCTACCTTATTCCTGCCTCACAAGGCGGGGTTGAACACGCGGCACCGGCTCGGCATGCTCATGCAGGCGCACAACGGCCGCTCGCCGCCCGAGAGCAGCCCTGCGGGCAAGTCGCGTTTGGACGGAACTGCCAGCTGAAGAACCCGTCCGTCTCATTCGTCAAGACACCGCCAAGGAAGCCGGTCTCACTGGAGAGGCTGGAAGACTGGTTGAAGATCTCTTTTGAAGCGACAGTGATCTGACCCCAGCCCATGTCGACGAGGGCATCGATGCTGGTACCATACACGTACTCCTTGAACCCAGCCCAGCGGATTGCCGACGCACACATGGGGCAGCTCTCGGCGTTGGTGTAGAGCGTCAGATCACCGAACGCGAGAAGAGCATCTGCGGGCGTCATGTTGTAACGTCCCTGAGGATCCGTGAAGATGGCCGAACAGTTGTTGATCGCTACCATCTCGCCTGCTACTAGTCAGCGTTGTTCTCTCACGGCAGTTGCAATAACATGTTGCTCTGCATACCATGAAGCGTCGGGTTGCCTGAGCCCTGGTTGTTGTTCGCGCCAGTACAGACCAGCTCCCCCAGGCCACCGGCCGTGTGGTTCACAACGACAGCTCCAAAGGCCGCGAACGGGCAGGGGTTCGGCAATGCGAGGTTTGCCTGCCGCATCCAGTACGCGCGGGTCGAGGCATCAACCCCATCGTCCGTCGTCCACGTTATCCACTCCTGGGGAAGACACTGCGGGAGGGCGGCGGGCATCGGGACCTGCGGCTTCGAGTTGCCGCAGGTGCTGCAGGTGTGCTTCTGCTGCTGTTCACAGCATCGCCCTACCGACGGCAGCAGCAGCAGCAACAGCTGGCTGAGCGTGCTGAGCCTTGTGGAGAGAAAGCGCATGTTTCACGTGGTCCTGTGAAGCGGGAAGATGCGACGCGAAGCTCAGGAAACGGCCAAATGCGGCTTCGGAGGTGACCTGTTTGGGGATAGCGGTTGTACCACGGGCGGGAGTGGCGAAACTCGGGTCAATGCTGGTGCATCTTTCCGCTGTCAAAGCTGGTGTTGATGGTGGTTCATGGAAGACGCAGCATTCGGCGGTATTTGTATCTCCTAGGAGTGATAGACAAGAACTCTGCTGAGAATTGGTGGAGATTGAATGAGGCGTTCATGGCTGCAGCTGAAAAGTCATGGAATGTCGGTGTCTACGTTGCATTTGGATCCCCGCATGTGATAAGAACCTTGCAATCTTTGAGATAAGCACCATGAGAGTGGGACAGTAAACGAGGCTATCTATCCTTCTCTCAGAAGATCAGATAGGAGGAGTTTTCGGTCTGATGGCCGAGTGCAATGCCGCATTAGGATTCAAGAGCCGATAAATAACCGGGTTAACCCCGGGGCGCCCCGGACTGCTCCCGGCGCAAAGGCGGGGTCCGGCGCCGGTTTCTTGACAAACCTCCGACGGAACGGCATTGCCTCAAACGAGCAGCACATAGTCTGAAATGGACTTGGAAGCTATGCAGATGAACTCAAACACATTTGGTATCTATGATATTACAATGAGACTGTGTTACAAGGATCATATGTCGCCGCAGCGTGATCTCCCGCAATGAGAACATCGCGATGGTTGTGGGTGCTCCCCCGTCGTAATTGCTTGACCATAGTACTCCACCTCAGTTAGTTCAGGATGCTCAGGAATGTCAGGAAGCTCCTCATCAAAATTCCTGTCTTTTCTTTCCAACATTTCAATATTGAGTCTGTAATTCGTCTTTCCAACGGCGTATGGATTTTCGCCAGATATTCCATAGGGGTTCGTCGACCTCCATGACAGATCGTATGGTTGAGGTGGTGACATGGGGTCCTCCAAAACTTTAGGCTTAGATCCGCCGTAAGCGTACATATCTCGATATTTTGTCGGAGAAATTTCGTCGGTCTTTGATGGGGGCCCCCCGATGTGATCACGTACGTAGTTGTCGCTGAACTGCGGCGGGCTGGTGCTCCTGCCAAACTTTTGATATCGCCCCATCTTGTATGATTTGTCGTCGGTTCCGACCGAAGAAGATCCCAGGCTGTCTTTCGATGGCTTTGGGGAGGACCACTTGAAGAGCTTGAAGTTGGGAAACCACTTCTCGACGAGGTTGCGGATCATGGGGAGGCACGCGCAAACGATGACGACGCCGAGCTCGATAGTCGTCCACCAGACCACCGGAACGTAGTCCCACGTCGGGTCGATCGAGTTACCGAATACGGCGAGAACTTGGAGACGGATGATGGTCGATACGAAGCCGACAGAGCCGAGGAGGAAGATCACAGCGACGGATATTTTCTTGTTCTTGTTCATTTGCAAGCCCGGCAGCATTGCTATCGGCAGGGCGAGTATGATGAGGTCCTGAAGAATAGCGAGAGCTGAGTTAGCATACGCCAGCTGGTTAATGTCGAGACAGCCACCGGTGTGAATGTCTTTGTTCCAAAAGAGTTCAATCGGATGGCACGAGAAGATGGTCAGAAATCCGATAATGACCTGGCCCAGCACAAGGAATGCAATCAAAGAGTAGGCCGCCATCCGAAACCTGGGTACCGTAAATATGCGGAGATAGAACGTGACCAGAGATAGTTTCGCGAACAGAAGCACGAAGACGTAGACAATCTCGGCGGCATATAACAATTGCAATATTTTCGTCAGTTGTCCGGACTGCAGGTCGTAAAGATGTGTCCCGAATCCCATCGTAGCCACTGGACACTGTCAGCACCTAAGTGTATAAATTCCAACCGGGGAACTTACTTATGATCACAAGAGAGAACGGCGCAATTGCAATTACCTGATATGTCGTCAGCTCGTGATTCTCAAGCTCGTTAGCTGCTTTTCGACTTACAATGGCAGCAACAATCAAAGCATCATCTGTGCTCCAAATCTTTGCAAAACTCTTCGCGATAAGTCGTAGGCCGATGGCAATGAGTGCGGTAACGTAGACTGTGACCAGAATGGCCAGCATCTTCGTGGTCTGGGATTCGTGCGGCAAGTTACATTGCCTGGCTTGAAGCTTTGCCAGATCTGGACCCTGTTAGCTTGTAAGACCCCTCGACACCGAGCATCATCATCATACCTAATGAGTCCTGCATAGTGCAATTCGCGATCAAGCAACTCGCGGCGAGCTGGCCAAGCTGCGAACTAGCACATGAACAAGTCGTATTCGTCAGGTCACAGCCCGAGCCGGTGATGGACTGAACCAGACAGTTCAACTCGACGGAATGTTAGTAGTGGTATCGCATATTCGTTCGAGAAATACTCACGCCGCATGTTGAGATATTACTCAGATCTGGTAGCTGTCGCGACACCAGCTGGTGCTCAACAATATGAAAGCCTTGTCCGTTCGCCCCGACGATACCCAGCATCGAAAGCGCAAACAATATCCATCCCAGGCCATTAAAGGCCGTCGACGATGTGGAGAGCCGCATATCGACCGGTATTGATCTGCTATCGCCACTCGCTCACCACTCCATGTAACCAAAGAGTCCAAAGAGAGCGGGCCCCCTTGGCTGCGTGCTCGAAGTTCGTGCGGGCAGGGGAGCTAATGTCGCCAAGTCGCCGCTCCGGGCGGCATGTAACTTATTTCCCCGGAAGTTGGTAAGGATCGAAACCTAACGCCGTAGATTGAATTAAGGATGTTGACGAGCGGAGACCTAAGAATGCATCATGAGTGGGGAGGGTAAGTCGTTATCAACCCTTCCCCCGGACACCCGTTCGCCTTCGAGCCTTGACACGTCAAGGATAACTGGTCTTGGTTCAGATGCCAGATGGGCTGCATACTGGTGGGCACTAACGGAAGGGGACACCGACAGGGAAGGACAAAGCTCCTCCCTCTCACTCTGCTTTCCTCTACACCTTCAGCAAACGCATTCATCCAGGTTTTGGGGGTTTGGAAGTTATGGGATGAGATGGGATGGAAACTCGAGAAGCGGTAGATGTGTGTGGGTGATGTGAGCACGAAGGATGCGTGTGCGCTAGTGTGTCTCTGTGCGCACATTGTCGAGATGGTGTGTATGTGATTCGTGCCTCTACACCAAGTTACCATACGAATGACTACCGTTGAGCATCGCCGCATGATAGTTGCCTCGCCACTGCAAGATAGGTAGCCAACGCTCGGCTTGGATGCCGGTACATCGCCAATAGGGGAGTTTAGAGTTCGGACGTGCGATTCTAGCGTGCATGCAGCAACCATGGTGTCGGTTGTCATGTTTCACGGGAACCTGAGCTCTCCCATCTCCCACTGGGCCGATCAGGAGACGAGTTATCCAAGCGAACCGTGCGTGCCCGTCATCTTGATGAATACTTACAACCTGGTGTATAGCTGGACATGTTGTGCGTACTGTCTGTGGTTATGGTTGGTACAGCGTCAAGTATGTTGGTCCCGGCCCAGCTTCCCCGCTCGCGATCCTAGTCTCCATCCGGATGCAGCTCCGGGGTGAACGCTGTGATGTTTCACACTTGGTGTTTCGAGACCGGCTTCGAGAAGGGCTGCCAAGCACACCTCGCACTAACTACCGACCACACAAGCGTCCACGCACACAAGTTAGTCCTGCCGGCAGTATGTAAGCGGGGTCGTTTGGTCTGTGGCTCAAGCAGAAACTCTATTTAGACTCCGCCATCTTCCCGCATTCTTCTTCTAGCTCTTGTCTGTTCTCGACAGCCAACTATCCTCTCAGGAGCCGTTTCTGACGAGCGACGAAACTGACGCATCCCAACGGCATTGGACTGATATTCTTCTTCCCTA